CTGCCCCTCCTTCTGCACTGACCTTGGTGTCTCCATGGTGTTTCCCTCACATGTTCTCACCTCCTCCTCTTCTCTGGATGGAACTAAAACTTCAACACCACTTTGTTTTGATTTTCTTCTTAAATATGTTATCACAGAGGTGTTATTGTAATTTCTAACAGGCCCAGCTTTGGCCAGCAGCATGTCCATCTTCAGAGCCATCAGGGACTGGTTCTGCTGGACATGGTGGAAGCTTCCAGCAGCTTCTCACAGAAGCCCCTCTGTGGCTCCCTGCTACCAAAAACCAGGCTGTGCAATACAAACACAGCTGGATAGAAGTTTGTTCACTAGCTTGTTTTCTAGATTCTGTTAACAATGCTTTATAACCTCTGAAGATTAAGCCACGGTGAGAAGACAGACTTTATGTATACAAGAAATTTCCATTGCTTGCCCTAAATAATAAAGAAGAGGGAATTAATAACCAAGGTGGACATCAGAAATAAATTATTATATGCCACATATACACCCAGAAGTCTGCAAAAAAAAAAAAAAAAAAAAGGCTTTCTATTGCTCTGTGCTCTCATCAGAGTTGACTGACAGAAAGGCTCTACTTTGGGGGTTCAGGCCAGGCAGGAGCCATTTATTACTATAGCTGTAGGAGAGAAGGCAGACTGACAGAGTTCAGTTCTCCATCCATACTGGCTTAAAACAGAAGTGCTAGGGTATATCACACTGACAGCAGATATAAACAGCTTTGTGAAGGAGCCTTGATATAGCAGTTTCATCAATTAAAACAGAGTACAGCATGCAATTTCTTTAGGCATTTCAAACTGGAAAACTTGTGACTGCTTTGGTCTTATTCTAGTGTCCAGTTCAGAAATCCTCTGTTCAAAACAGACAAGTGAAAGCAGAAGCTAGGAAAGACCATACATCAGTTTCAGAGGGTTTGATAAAATAACTAGAGCTTAATTTTAAGCAGTCTAGACTCCAACCCTTTTTCTTTTATGAAGACAGAGAAATAATTCACACTGTAAAAGATTTGCCACTATACCTAGAGAGGCAAAATCATCCTGGAAAATACCCTAGTGGTGTAACAGGTAACCTAGCTCAAAGATGCTACGTTTTGTAGAAACAAAGTTAAATAAAAGGTATGTATGTCCAAAATTAGCATTCTAGCAAGAGATGACTGAGTGAACAATTGAGTAATTCTGCCAGTATGACATGCTACGATAAAGACATTCTGAAAATAACTTTCAGTATGCAGGCAACTAAACAAGAAAAATAGATACATAAAATTTTTCCTAGAACAACGTATTCCAGCATCCTGTGTATCTATGCACTGACAAAATTACACTGCTCTCCAATATTTATGACAAGTTTCTTTTTCTGGAGTAAATACATATCAGGGATTTTTCAAATATCAAATAATACAGTTATGAAGTCAGAAGCCTATAGTCAGAATTTACCCTTATAAATAAACTATTATTCATGTTTACTGTCTCCTGTATTTGAGTCAGGAGAACTGCTAGAGCTGAGTATTTTAATCTGACATGAATTTTGATGTTAGCATTTTGTCTAGCCTTAGATTGTTGACATTAATGTCTTAACAGTTGAGACAGCTTTTTATGTTTTAGTTTAGGAATATGAGAAGGCATGGAGGAAGTGAAACTTGAACATTTCCTGATACATATAGGTTTGGAGCAAGCCACATGCTCAATATTCATGTAGGAATGAAAAAAAAAAGCAAAAATCTGCAAATGATGATAGAAACCTGAAAAGTCTTGTTTTAATGGACTATTTTGAACAAAATAGAACTTTAGTATTTGGAACAGATCTCAAGATGGATAAAGCATTACATATACTGAAAATCACTATCCTTTATGATATCAGCATTTTACAGCTCTTTAAATATGGTAAATTTGACACTGTGTGGGAGTTATAAGTAATTTTTTATGACTAATGAGTAATTAGTATTTAACGGAAGCAAACACCTTCAGGGTATTCATTATTCTAATTTTACTTATTCCAATGCAGTTTGATTGGGCAGTAGAGAGGAACACAATTAAAATCAGTTCCAACAAAAATTCTTCTTACAGTTACATAAGCAGAATATTTTTCATGAAAATGGTTTGAGGGTAGGTTGAATTTCTTTTTTTAAATTTGGTTCCAAATTAGTATAGCTGTCGATTTTTTTCTTGGAAAATTCTGATATTTCCCCTGTGAATCTCATACACGTCAAGTTCGAGTGTTTTATAAAAATTCTAAAGGAAATAAGGTTTTCTATTTGCTGTAAAGATTTTTGAGTTGCAATGTTTTTGAATACATCTGTGATCCTCTGTTCACTTTCTTCATTTCTTTGTTTTTTAATTTGTTCTATTTCCCATTTCCTTTAGTTTTCAGATTTATGACCAATACTTTTATTGCCAACCTGTGCTTTCTTTAGTCCTTCTTCCACTTCAGATATTTTGTGCTCATTTTAGTGCAAGAAGGTAAATAAAGGCTACATGTAAAATCCCCAAAGCTTCACAATCACCAAAATGCCAAGGGTCCCAGACATCATACAGCTTCAACCTGAGGGAAACTAATTTATATGAATCCCTTCTGGAAGCCTTCATGATAGACATCTGTAGCAATGCTTGATGTGCACAGGTATCACCAATACTACTAGATTATTTTTCATTGACTGAGTTGTCTGTGCTAAACTCACTGAGGTCAATTTGATGTCCAGAGTGCTAACTGCTATAGTTGCAACTGAACTCAGTGGCCACGTTGCTCTACATAGTTTCACCTCAGAGGAAAGAAACTCTCAGAGGGCTAGGAGACTGCACTGGTAGTCATACTTGGAAGAGACACAAAAAATCACAATTCATATCAGTACCACAAAACTGTCAGAAGCTAGGTCCCATTACAAGAAGAATCTGCATTAG